CATCTCGGTCCCGCCCTTTCACTGTCGAAATAGTTAAATGTAACCGCCTCTTCTACTCCAACATCTTCTTCTCTCGCACTTTCCTCTTATATGCTTCCTTGATAACTATAATCTTCAAATATTCAAATGTAATGTCAATCGACATCTTTTGATGCCTTGTTCTTGATCTCCGTCCTCCTCTATCCTTTCCTCAAACACGCCTCTTTGCTTTTACTCTCACTCTCTGTAACCTCTTGCGCGCTAGTGACACTCCCGCCGTGCTTGGGGTGAAATGTTAAAAAAAGAAAGAAAAGAAAATGTTGGTTTGAAGACTGCAACATTATCAAGACGCCTTACACTTGATTTGTCAGACACAAGTTCTATTGCACTACATTTAAAAATACATTCCTGTCCCCCTTTGCAATGCAGAAAGATAGTTGTTGATAACACCAATATACTGTACTGCGAAAATAATAAACAAAAACTTCAAATACTCGAGGCCCTCTATATCAAAAGCATCCAGCCAACACTCAACAAAATTTACTACGAGTGTAGCAGCAATGTGTTGAAGTGTATTTAACTATCATTTAATGTCGTGTTGCATTTCTACCAACTTCTGATTAGCTTCCTTATATTGGGGCGCTTTTTTTGCAGAAACTTCCATAGCTACAACGGATAAATTAAAAAAAATGAAATTATTAAAACGGAGCGAGTGCACGCGTGTTTTTAAAAAATCACCATCACAACGATCACAGTTACAATAAGTCTGTCTTTGCAATTCACCTCTGAGGATGATCTCGGAAGAGATGGAAAGTACTTGGGTAGGAAAAAAAACTACGACGCCTTCCTTGATGAATTTCATCTTAACATCAAGCAGCTGATTAAAGAACTAAAAAGGATTACTATAAAAATAGACATAATATGTATTATTCAATGAAACATGTTTGAATGAAGATATGCTATCTAAATATACATATTTTATCCTACTATCATAATTTGGCTGGAGTTGCTCAGTCTTATCATTCCAGTCTTGATAGAATTCAAAATCGTTTACGCGGCCTCTTTCCCACAGATAGACGCTACCTTGCAAGCCTATCGCCACTCTATCGCTATTCCCATGGAAAGTTGTTCAGACAAGCTCCAATCTTTTGTTCCATGAGTTCAGATCTTTACATCTAGGACACGTCATGCTACTTCCATGGAGTCGAATCACTCTAATTTCCTCCCTGTTCAAAATGTAACAAAAGAGTTTCTTTTCCCCATGAAGTGCCACGTTATAGAACGTGGCCCTGTGTAGGTGTTTTCCTGAATACTAACAAGCTTAACCTGCTGAAGTTAAGAATCGACTATTATCTATATTATTATTATCATACTTTTCATTTTCTACTACCACGCTTCCATTTATATTACACACCTTATTCATCATAAATACTTTAACAGTAAGTCTCTACCGTGAGTGGTTCTCAAGCCTTGTATATAGTGAATTCTAATATGAAAAAGTGTTGATTCCTATGTCCCGGCTGCCTATAAACATATATATATATATATATATATATATATATATATATATATATATATATATATTATATAAAATATGAACTGAATACATTGTACCACATTTTGATGGCCATTTCACTCCCAGGATAATCCCGTGGTGGTTTGTCAATGCTAAAACGTTTGTTAAAAAAATTTGTTTTTTTAACAAACGTTTTAACATTGACAAGCCTCAGGGAGATTATCTCGGGGGGGGTCAAGATGTCCATCGAAATAGGGTACAATTGAGTTTCATTTTTATGTAATTAATTTATATGCTCTATAATAAATATATTGAGTTCTCAGTGGATCAGTTTTAATAGTGTATATTATTAGGATCTACTTGGATTATTTACCCACGGATTTTTTATATATATATATATATATATATATATATATATATATATATATATATATATATATATATATATATATATATATATATGGTCTTTTTTTATTCATTTTGTTCCTTTATATATATACTATATCTGAACATAATTTTTACACACACACACACATATATATTAAGCAGTAGCACTACGCATTACTGGCAAAAGCAAAAACTCTCTATGAAATACATTCTTTCACATTTGTTGAAAAAAGATGGGATTATCGACAAAAACAATTTTGGTTTTCCTAAACGGATCTCTTACTATTTCGTTACTAAAGTTACTAAAGTAAATCTTCCTAATCTGTTTGATGTAACTTTCCTGTGTATGACTCTGTATTATCATTCCGGGGGCTGACATTTTCTGCTGAATAATTCTGACAATTCTTTATTCTTCGCTCTTTTGATTGTCTCACCTTTTTCTAAGAGCTCAACAGATTGATTTCTTTGGGGTTTTTTACGGCTTATCAACCCTCTTGTGGTTTATTTAAAGTCCAAACACATTTCGGATTGTATCTGATGCTTGACACTACTTAACTAATAGCTCGAAATAGACGAAAGCTGTCAGATCCCACTGTTCATTAAGACCTTACTCGGTTAGAGATATTGCTTAGGTAGTGTCGTATAAGTTTTTCATCTAGACTATAAGCGAAGTGTGTTAAATTCACCAAATATTTTTCCTCATTTTTTTCTCCCCAAAATTTTCAAATGACTCTTTTTTATTATTAGCAACAGGTTCTTCATAATTCCAATTTTCTTTAAAACTTAATTTATCACATGCCCCATCGATTGTATTCTAAGCATTCATCTGCAGAATCAAAATCCTTTTTCTGAATTTGCAAACTAATTGCAGTGTTGGACTTATCTTTAAGCTAAATAAGTTATAGCTTAGGTCTACATGCCCTCATTATTTTAAAAATGTGTTTATTTTATCATTAGCACTAAATCATCAAAGATTATACACGGTATCCCCCCCAAATTTACCCCCTGTTTGACTTCCTGTTACTTGTTAAATTTTCTCTTTTTTCAGATTCATACATTATATATTTTCTCTTAATATTTAATTTAAACCGTTCACCTTCTTTGTAAGTCGATAAACATTAATATTTCTTAATTTTAACCATTAACCTTGTTTGCAAGTCAATAAACACTGCATTTATTGTCATTTAAAGAGTAAGTACATTTTTTGACACCCTGTATATAATCAATGAATCATTAATAAATAATAATCATGTATAATTGTTTAAATTGTTTTACCTGCATATTTTTTTTTTTTTTTTGAAGAATTTCATACAGTTTAGGTGAAAATCCGACCCTGAGTAATTGTACAACTTTCATTGCCATATAGGAATTTAGACATTACATGGTAGTGCAAAATTTCTCTTTTCGTTTCTAATGTTATTTTTCGATCCTTTAATTCAGCTTCTGAAAAGTTACTTTTTGCTGTTCATACCCGTCTTCGAATATACGTATCCTACTTTTCGTTGTCTGTTAATAAACTGCTTTCGTAATTGAATTTTGGATGACTTCGGATAACCATTCAACTATTGTCATGTACAAGACCCAAATTTATGTTACGGCAAAAGACCCAGACACAAATTAAATTTATATTTAAGCCTGAATATGAGATTTGACTCAGGGTATAATTTCCTGGGTTCCTATAAGTAAAGGATGCCTACAGGATATGAACAAGATACGCAAAATACAATAATCAGTGAAAGAACGACAGCGAAGACGTGGAGCCAGTTTAATATAAACAGTTTAATTCAATAGAATAAAAATGTGAGAACAAAAAAAGAAGATAAAAAGAAAGAGTTTGTTTGGGTGGGCATGCGGTGTATGCGGCATTTAATACAGGAATTTCTATCATGTCAGTAGAATTTATATGTTGCTTATTTTTGTCTTATTCGTGGATAATTTCAATGATCATTATCTTGTTGCAGGGGTTATAGTCGAGTAGTAACGTCGAAAACACGTGTCTCCTGGTGTATTTATCCCACAACAAAAATGACGGACTCGGTATGTGAGTCCACGTAATAATTGACAAAACTATATATATAAACAAACGATAAATATGCATTAACAAAACAATGGTATACATAGACAATAGAATATTGTTGTGTGTTACAAAACAATAAATACGAATGAAGAAAACATTAAAACTAGTGAATCGTTTGTGTGTATGTAGTTTAGTTTAGAAGAAAATCCTAGAGAAAATGAACTAAAAGGTGCGTACGTGCGTGCGCGCAGCTGTGCGTCCCCCAGTAGGAAAGCGTTCTCCTTGTTCAACCTGCATCTTAGCGTCCCTGTGTGAAAAAGGAAAAAGAGGATGACATTGAATGTCACTTCCTATTTATCGGCCTAGGGAGCGTAACCTAGCGGCGAATTTTATTTTAGGAAAGTGGGGTAACTCCACAATCTGTCAAGCCAAATGCTTACAGTAATCGAAGTTGATGTTCGAGATATATCCGTAGTTCATCGATAATATAAAACTGGTTAAACCCACAGTTTCCTTTGGTCACTGTCTTTACTGCTCCACTGGGGATAAAGCGCAGGAGTTGACGTCCGTCTGTTTCGGCCACTATCTTCCAGTTGGTGATACTTTAATTTTGGCGCCTCGGCGTCTCTTTGTAGTCACATGATCTGCCACGGGGTTGTCATGTATGAAATCAAAGATCAAGCGGCTATCCACTGCTGTCGTTATGGTATAGGGAAGTACATTTATTCACTGTCACCATTCGCCCTCGTGTATTAGTTAGTTAGAAAGAAAGAAAGATACAAAGGAAGAAAGAAAGAAAAACAACGTTCTTAACTATAAGAGTAGTCTTTTTTCCTCTTCTTTAATACGCAAATCGTAGTATCACGTCACATTATGCACTCAGAATTCTTACACGTATTGGTTATTCTTTCGTTTTGCCTTTATCGACTAACTTGTTTAATAGTTGTTTCAGTTTTCTTTCCTGATCTGCCATCGGTACTGCGTAGCTTACGTTGCTAAGGTTACGTATACCAATAATAAATCTTGATAAGTCCTTTAATTCTCTTAGAATCAGCTCGTTGTACAAGTTAAATAAATCTTGTGAGAAGCCACGTAGACTTTCGATCAAATCTCGCTGAAACACCAGTTCTTGTTTGATCAGCCGAGTTAAGCAGTGTCGAGCCCGGTCAGTACTTAGATGGGTGACAGCTTGGAAATACCTTGTACCGTAAGCGAAAACTGAGTACAAAATATTGGACGATGGGTTTAGCAGCTACATTCCGTTAAGACTTTCAATGGAAACCACAGCGTCAACGCCTAGTGTAGCTGGGAGTCGTAACCCCATACTCTCCAGGGAGTCTACGAAACTAAAGGAAGAGGAGAAGGTGAAAGGAAAACATGTTATTCTCGCACTCTTATTTCTGGTTTTTGTGTACTCATTTAAATCTTTCTCTATTCGTATGCAGGTTGCTTGTTTGCAATACAGTTTGTAAATTATTTGTATATATTTTCCGTCTAGAGATAGTTTTCCAAAAAGTTCAGGAAGATCTTTGTCATGTACTCTATTAGATGCGTTTATGCAATCTATGAAATATCGTAAGTCTGTATGTCATGTAATTCTTTCTGCATTTCTATTGTTTGTCCTGGCAGAATTATAACCATGAAAATTGTATTTCTTGTTCCAGTGTCTTGAACAAAACTATATTATTCTTTCTCTTTTATGAATTGTAAGTTTCTTTCTTCTGTTTTCATGGAGAAGTTATCAGTACAAAGTAACACCTTTTTTTCCAAATTACCACACCGACCATATAATTAAAAGCGGACACGGTTATTTATGCTGTACATGAACATTGGAGTTAAGTGAACATTATGATGAGGAGCTATTCTGGGTGTTATTCATTGGGATTATTGCTTGTTTCTTAGGTTGAATTTTACTTGTTGTCCACATCTTTTTTTCTCTTGTCTTTCCTCAAAATGAATTTATTACTGGTTCCTTTAAAGTGTTCTACTTTGAATATCTGAAATGTTCCAAATTTCATTCTTTCTCATAACTGCGACTGTTTGTGTTTGTTTACACATTAAATCGCTAAGGAGTTTTTCGTATCGATGTGCAAGCATTTCTCTGTGCTTTGTAATGTTATCCTTGGTTTTCATATAACAGGGAGGCGATCACTCCCGCCGTCAGCGGTTGAGTATGTCTTAGAGTGAAAAATTGTGTTTATCGTTTGCCGATGCTCAAGTAGTTTGTCTGTTATTTTTTTTTGTCTTCTCTTGGGTTTTCTAAGTCCATAAAAACCTTGGTTGTTCTTTGAACCAAGCGTTGGTTATTATTTGACTTGGTAATTCGCTGTGTACCATTGAACGTGTTTTACTCCGCGCTCTTTGTTTGATCCAAGTCCATATTTACCAACTATTTTACTATTCTGATCTTTTATCTCTCGTGATGACGATGATGTTTTTGATGTGTACTTTGACTCTTTTTTCCTTATATATATATATATATATATATACACTAGCAGCATGGCCCGGCATTGCCTGTGCTTGATTCAAAAATCGTACGACTCATACAGCAATCGCTATCACTTGACTTAAAATATTTTTGCCTTTCCTTGCCTTTAAAGGAGTGCCCTTTGCCGTGCTGATGTTGCTACATGCCTTACTTCTCACACTGCGAATTTTTTCTAAGCTCTATACTAAACATTAAATCTGTTACGAAAAAAGAACTAAACAAAATGAACACAAAACGATCAGCTTTAAAAAAGGACTCGTAACTGGAAAAACCGAATGAAAAAAAAATGTTAACAACAAATACTTTTTCACGCCCAACCCAGTTCTGCGGAATCAGAATCAACGTTGAGTTTAAGCAAGCGAATGAGCCAATTGGAGTAAAGTGCCATGCAGATTTAAATTGTTTCCACTTGTGACGAATGCAGCTATCGATATTTTTTGCATGCTAGCATGCTAGTTAACATTCGTGTCAATTAGCTGTTGGCTCTCACGCTGACCAATAGAATCTTCCTGCCTATTCGTGGCAGCCAGCTATAGGCTCTCACTCTGGCCAGTACAAAATGGCCGCAAACTACATGAAAACTACCGTAGAAGCATAAAAAATCGATTATTTCCACTATCGATGGGAGTTGGGAAATGCAAAGTCGGTCTTGGCCTTTCCGCTAACTTGGATCATGTGCATGTAAATTTTGGTGCAAATCTGTCGAAAATTGCGGCCGTGCATTCGTTACACACACACACACACACACACACACACACACACACACACACATCCTGCTGCCTTTTATATATATATATATAGATATATATATATATATATGGTTTTATTTTTAATCCGAGATTTTTATTACTTCAAATGCGGTTATCCACTAAAAATATCGTTTTAAAGATATATATATATATATATATATATATATATATGTATGTGTGTGTGTGTGTGTGTGTGTGTGTGTGTGTGTGTGTGTGTGTTAACACTAAATTTGAAAAACAGCTTACATTGCTTATTCGTTCCAGATATGGTTGTGACTCTGGTACTGAAGGTAAGCATATTTTCCATTACTCAAGTTTTCACCTTTCAAAGAATGAAAGTGCGGTCTTGTCGAGGGGCTTGCAATTTTGTATTCCTCCGATTAAGATTGATAAAGAGGAGATACTGGCAGCATTTGAGGTGTTGTTCTCCCAACTTAAACACCATGTTCCTTGTTCATCGGATCACGTTATTACATTGAAGTCAAGGTTGAAAGACTTGGCTTATCGTTATTGTAATTCTTCTATTGACTCTTTTGATTTTGTTTGGTCAAAAACTCAATTCAAGGTTGTTAAATCTTTGAAATCTAATAATGATATTTATATTTGTAAACCGGACAAGGGTGCTGGTGTCGTTCTACTGGACCGGGTAGATTACATCCAAAAGATGTTGACTATTTTGAATGATTCAGAAAAGTTAAAAAAAAATTGGTCCAGTTGAAACTTGTGACAACACGTACAGAAATGAAATTAAAATTCAGAAACGTCTATTATACTTGTTTAGAAAAGGTTACTTTTCCAAGGAGACTTATGACAGGATTAGACCATCTGGTTCCCTTAGACCAAGGCTTTATGGTCTTTCTAAAGTTCATAAGAAGGACGTTCCATTGAGACCAATACTTTCAATGATTGGTTCATCCCAACATTCTTTGGCTCAATGGCTTCTGCAGGTCATACAACCGGCCCAAACATTTTTTGCTAAACATTGTATACCTGATTCGTTCACGTTTGTTGAACGCTTACAGGCCATACAGTCTTGCCCTGATACTGATTTTGTGTGTTCTTTTGATGTGTCCAGTCTGTTTACCAACGTACCATTAAAGGAAACTATTAATATCTGTGCAGACTTTTTATACGAAGGTAACATTACTCCACCCCCTTTTCCTAATGATATATTTATAGAATTTATGATACTATGCACCAGTTCGGTGGAGTTTAGTTTTGATAATGTTATGTATAGTCAAGTGGATGGGGTCCAGATGGGCAGTCCCCTTGGTCCTGCATTGGCTGATATTTTTGTGGGCTACCACGAGATGTAACTTTTCGGCAAAGTGTCTAAACCGTTTGTTTACGTCAGGTATGTCGATGACACTTTTGCAACTTTTTCTAACGAAAGTGAGGCTGTTGTGTTCTTTAATGAGCTCAACTCCTTACACAATGGTTTGTCCTTCACTATGGAAGGGGAGAAGGACAACTATCTGCCTTTTTTGGACGTTTTTGTTGAACGCAGTAGAGGTGGTTTTCTTACTAGCATCTATCATAAACCCACCTTTACGGGTCTCTATTTGAATTGGCGTTCATTTGCTCCTGCATCAAGGAAAATTAATCTTGTTAAAACCTTGGTGTATAGAGCGATTAAAATTTGTTCTCCTATTAGATTGGACTGTGAATTTGAAAACATTAGGGAGATTTTCCTTAGTAACGGCTACCCGGAGGCCCTTATTGACTATATTATTAGTAAGAAGACTAAGGAATTTAATTTCTAAAGTCCAGGGGCCTTCTAAATGTCCGGTGTATTTGAAGATTCCCTGGATTGGGATAGGGTCAGGGCTTAATTAAGCAGGTTAGCAAGTCGGTTTCCGGTTGTTTCCCATCAGTTGCTTTACGTAGCATTTTTCGAACTAGGTCTGTGTTTCCGTCTTTTCGCAAGGATGTATTGCCCTACATCAAATTGAGTAATTTAGTATATGAGTTTAATTGCCAGTGTGCTGCTGGTTATGTGGGGCGTACAACCTTGCATTTGGAAACTAGAATCAATCAGCATGTACCTTCCAAAATACGACTTGGTAAGATAGATAAAATATGCTGTCTTAGTTGAGAATATAGCCTGCGCCAAGTTGTTTAAAAAGAGTGGTTTAAAATTATTCATACAGCCGATTCCAACAATCATTTGAAGATTTTGGAATCGGTCTGTATAGGATTAAGGAAACCTTCTCTCTGCCGACAGAAAGAATTTGTAAAGTCTCTTAATCTGTTGGGGGATATTTTATTTTAACTGTCCCTCGCTAATTTATTTACACGGTATTTACCCTCCCCTCGTTACAAATATATACACTTGTTTGTTATTTTAGTGTGTTTCCCCCCTCTTTTTGCTCTTCATTGTCGTTAATATTCTTTTCGTTGATCCAACGATTGTCTCCTGATGAGATGTTGGTTGAAAGGGCCTTAGAGACTTTTAAAATTAAAATCAATACATTCCTTGTTTTTAAAACTCTCTCTCTCTCTCTCTCTCTCTATATATATATATATATATATATATATATATATATATATATAGAGAGTAAAAATAAAACATAATACGGATTTAACTCTGCCGACCTGTATAGGAATATTTGGCGATATTTAGGATAATGTGTTTATTGGAGTTCTTCAAAGAGAGTAAGAATGAATATAAAAACGAATACATACAATTAACAACATATTTTATTGCTTGAATAAAGATAAATGAAAAAAATATAAAAGTGGCGAATGAAGGTGTGGATAGTGATTTTCCAAGCGTAGCTTATATGTGGCACAAGGCCGAAATTAGGGGGCACCCAGTGAGGATCGAACTCACTACTCAGTCGTAATTGTTCTAGCGAGCCAAGCTTGCTAACCATTTAGCAAGGTGCCCAAATGAAGGTGTGGATATATAAATGTCCTTATACTACGTTCGTATCTGTGAAGTTCCTATTAAAGATTATGAAAAACTTGCATTT